GTTGAGAGAGGAAACAACATACAGCCAAAGCATCATAGTGGAGTCCATCATAGATCAGCATAACTCTTTCACTGTAGTTTTTTCCCTGTTATTTAAATCCCAAAGAATGAAAATTCAAAAATAGTAAGAAATCCAGCCTCAATTTTATAAAGAATTGCTGAAGAGGTATTCGAAGCTAACCTGTCCATACAAATCACATCTGGTGGTTTGTATATCATATGCTGCTATCTCAAGCCCATAATACTCGGCCAATATTGCAAGCTCAATGCCACCTAAATATAAAAAACCAAGAGAAAGTTCAACCATACAGATGAATTAACAAGCTTTCATATATCCTAGTGCAATACTATAACAAATAACCCTATGTAAGCACAATGTCAACGCAATTCAAGAGCCAGAAAAATCTTGTTAAAATCCAAGAGGCTCTGATCCCACAAAAAACGAGTGTCATCATTGTGGACTGCAGAAAAAGGGATCTTCTCAACAAACGTTGAGATAATTTCTTAAGAACTTAAACATGATCATCACCCAAATTACATCGTTTGGATTTATTTTATTTTTTCGTAGGTGTAACAAAATTTAGCAACTAAGAAAAAGCAACAAGCCCTTAAATCGAAAGTGACCTTATGTTGTTAGGTTTTTGTTTTTATAGTTGCACAGAACAATAACCTCAGAATGAGTGTGACTGCATATAAAAACCATGGAGCTGAGAAGCTTACGCATAGAACTCCCATTATTTCTTTTTCTTTCTATTCTACATTTTAGTTCCTTACGTTTGCAGATATGACATGAAATGTTCTCCATCATTTTCTCTTTCTGCTTATTCTCCTCTCTCTCTCTCTCTCTCTCTCCTAGTAAGGACATGCATTTATTTCTCTTCTTTCCTAGTCCACACCTTATCCTCTCCATCAACACTAAGCACCCCCCAGTTTCTCTTCTCCCTACACCCAACGCCTTAAAAGGGCAGTCCAGTGCAACCTCCTGCCACTAAAGGTTAAGAATGATAGCATCAAACTACTTTCTAGAAAATAAATAAACTTTCATCTCCTCAAAAAGAGACCTTAGAATTTTTGAAGGTATCCCAGTAAATCCCCAATCCAACTACTTTCCTGTTGATAAAAGATCAAAAGGCAAACCTATGTGATAAAAATACAAATTCGAATCACTCTCAAAATCAGTTAAATTGGAAGAAAAGCTGCTCATATGCCCCCATTTGGTATGAATTAAAATTTAGATTTTAATCTAAGTCAAAGTCAACAATTAATTTCAACCACATATTTTATGAATCCCACAAATTTTCAACCACGCATTTCACCAACTTCTATTAAAATCTGATTTTAATTCCCACCAAACATGGCTCGATATATTATTCTCAATTTCCAATGCCGGAACAAAATTTCCCAAATAATCAGTGATTTTTTACAAGCGTGCATTTTTTAGTGAACAGTCAAAAGGAAATGTTAAGGTGCTTCACAGTTCTCAAAATACCCCAGTTGGAAATTTGATTATGTGCACAGATGAGAGAGACGCACACACACAGACACCCATGATGGAGATCCAACAAAGTTAACCACGCGGAAAGCAATTTTTGCAAGCTATAAGGCCAAAATAGTTTAAGTCATTGCCGTAAATTTTGTGTGATTTGTTGCTCATATAAGCAGCAAATTACATCCCAAAAAGGATGGAAAATGAGAAAAGACACAACTGCCCTTGTAGATAGATCAAATCAAAATAGATATTGCACTTAGTAAAGCTGAATTAGAGTGCAGTTCGTTTAAACATTCCGTAGTAAAAACTTATAATTTCACTAGAAAACGTAGAAAAGAAAAGGAGAGAAAAATTAACACAAGTAGAAAGTATAAATATTGTAAAACCATAAAAGATAAACATTATCATATTGTATTGCACTTTGTGATAATAAACAAAGTAATGGATCCAAGGTGCAGATTCTTTGTAGAAAAACATGTGGACTCCCAACCCATGATATAAGCAATCTCAAAATCAAAATTTGGAAGTGCACAAGAAAATTGCATTCTCAACCCAGCTGCCTCAGTGTTGATACCGAGTTCATCTATATGCAACAAATGCAAAACTTACCTCCCCACTTCTCTGGGTTAAGAATCCATGCACAATACTCTTCATTAGGCTTTTCAAGCAATGCTTCAGAAAACTTTTCAGGATCACTTGCCACCGTTGCAGCTATAACCTAAATGATAAGTACAGAATGTCATGCTTAAAAGAAAACAAGAAGGGAAAAAAAGGACAGAGACCCATTTGACTGCAAACATGCTCAATTTTAGTATTCTATGCTTTGGTGTTGCATAGTCATTTCTCATACTCCGCATTCCAGAAAAGAACAGTGCAATATTTCTTTTGTTCATTTCCTCTTTCTCAAATTTAAAAACTCCATATTAATGCTGAGAACAAAAAAATATAAATTCATGATAAATTTTCACCCTCACCATAACTTGAATCTAAAACCACTAGTTTTAGCATTAAAAGCATCAGCACCTCGAATGACTCATGAGTGGTGTGATCTAAGAATTACTTATTATGCATGCATAACAAAATACAATTTATAACCTGTCTTAGCTCAGGAGCTTTGTTTTTGTCGTGGTCCATGACATAACTGCACATGATATTCATAAGTTAATTAATAAATACATTTGTAAATTCCCCAAGTTTTGACTGATAAGTACGGAATACAAACTTTTTTCCTTTTTTAGCGAGCTAAAATAAATAAAGATTCGAAACTCACCCAACCGCATTAAAGAGGCAACTGTTATCGGAAGGAATAACTCTCCTAACTATAATACCTTCCATTTACACCTGAAAACAAGTAGTTGTATGAAAATCATCAACACGAGAAGTACAGTTTACAAAGATTCATGATTTATAGATGATTCACGAGGAAAATAATCAATAACCATAATTAAAAGAAAAAAGTCGCTGGCTAGAATAAGTGATGTTCTCAAAAACAATTTACATAAT